TAGGATAAGAAAGTGTTAGGAGATAGCTCATTTGGCCTGGCCACGACGATATCGATAGCATTGCACTAAACTCACTCGAGTTTGCGAGAAAAACGAGGATAGCTTGTTCCAGTGATTAGTAAACGAGACCGGCGGCCTTTATCGTTGATATTGCTCGGCTGGACTCTGAGAGCTACAAAAGCTGACTGTGGCGGATACTGCCATTATCGATTATCAAACACAGCAGAAACGACGAGGAAGCTCCGCTGGCGGCCTTTCTGAAGAATGTCAAATAGTAATCTGCAGTCCGTGGAAGGGCCGTTGAGGCGCAATACACCAAGCTTTGAGGCCTTCTTTTTCTATTGTGAGCTATATCGACAGCGCGTTGCTAGGCTCACACCCTTTACACGCCACAAATCGCACCATACCACGTCTCGGAATAGGTATATACATAGTCTCATGCTGACTGTGCTTTCGCTTTGAGCCTGACTGATCGGTAGTATTGAGCAGTATGTCGTTCGCGGGTCGACAAGCATGCAGTCCAAGCTAAGTGGCGAACAACACTAACTTGGCGCTACTAGGCGGCTTTTGTGGATGCTGCCGGATTAAGCTTGAATTTAGAGTTGACAGTACCGTACATTTGACTTCAAAGGTTGAGTACATAAGGAAGGTGCAATCGTTTCGCTTTCCACGATTCTGCGGAAAGGAGTTGTAGAACCAATGACCCTCGGGACGTCCTGGTTTTCCCGGGATATGACGATTGACTCGGTTTCGTCGGTGGTCACAGAGTAGTAAGCAAACACATACCACATACAGCTAGCTGTACTAACCTTTAGGTGCTTGATAGTGACATGACATGACATGACAGTAGGAGAAGAGTATTACTGTGTAAGGATAAGCTTAACTTGTTTTCATTGAAACAGGTACCTGTTTCAACCGAAGCGGCCATGGTTTAGACAAGCAACCGTTTACGCGTGGGCGAAGCGAAATTGTATAAATGCAGACAGAAAAGTTTGAGAATGATATCTCCTGTCCAGCCAAAATGTGAACAGGACCTTAGGGTTCCAATTCTAGAGGGCGAGACCTTTGTTGCTTATGTTCAGCAGTTGATGCTGGCAATGTCCGATAAATTGCTACCTCGTGCCAAGCTTTGTCTTGCACAAGGCAAACAATTCAGCCAACAGATTTTGAAGCGCTGAAACTTAGATAGCATTATCTCCAGATGATCATACAACATTCTTGAAGCGTCGACATATTTGGCCTCACTGTCATTGTTTCCACATGGGTATCTCGCTTGTCTTATCGACAAGTCAAATGTGCACAACTGGATATAGTTAATTGGTATCAAGATATTCCAGCAAAACGGCATCATAGGAGCCGTTTTCGATAACAACATCCGCAGTCACAAATGATCATCTGAAGCTTCGAGTTGAAGTGTTTGATACAGAGTGGAGTACCCCAAATTCGTTTGCGCATCCAGATTCGGTTTACGAGTGAGAGCTTATCGGAACTTGATTCGCGGAGAAAGGAGTCGAATGAGCTTCGGATAAGGCTCGCTGAGTGCTATTCTATGAAGAATGTCCTCGTGATATCAGCTGTTGGAATCATGAACTACCAGCAGGCTTTGAGCTTTGAGCAACTTACACGGCGGCCTCTCTGCTCTGAGAACTTTCTGTTTTATGTCTAGCGAGCCCACTCGGGCTCAACGCAGTCACCAAACACAACACGCTCGTCTATCGACTTCTCCGCAACCGACTCACTTAAATTCGAGCCAGAAGACAAAGTGCAGAAGTCCTTTCGAAGCACAAAACCGCAATCCATCTAGAGACATTCAACAAAGGCTGGGGGCTTGTGCAGATACTGGGCAGCCTCCAGCGTGTCTCAAGAATCCACAGGAGAGCAACTTACCACAACAGGGGTTGACGTTGGACATTACATAACAGAGTAGCCGCGTAGTGAGTGGAAGCGATTCCGGCGGAGAACTCAGGTACTACTATGATTTCAATAGTCAGGGGCCACTTGGGAAGTACGCCAAGCCGGCGATGGTCTCATTGCAGTCGTGCCGAGTAAGCGCCGACTCAAGTTCCTACACGCACAAATGTACAGGCGAGCGAGGTATTGCCGCGGTGCGTTTCGCCAGGCTGCCTGAGACTTCGCTACGGTAGATTGCAATGCCGCCATGTGAAGAGGAGCTTCATCTCGGCGTATTTGTGACTTACTCAGAACGCGCGGGCTTTCTTGTCGTCGGCTTCATACTCCGTGCCGACATGAATCCGGGAGAATCTAGGATAGTGATTATGTTATCTATGTAGAGGTGATGGAATTATCGACTCTGAACACTCAAATCAGGGTCCAGGCATCGGCAGGGGCCGAGAGGCGCGATAACACGATCATCAAAGCTGGCATGTATTGAAACAGGGCAGCAGT